TCATCCGATGATTGTGAACTGCTACTGCTGTCTTTTTGTGACTTTTTTTCTGGAATTTCATATGGGAATTCCTTATTTTCTTCTTGTAGAGCAGTTTTAAGCCGCAAGAGAGCACTACGATTTATATTCTCTAAGCATATATCTTTGATGGCGGTTTTCAGCGTGTCCAAAGCTTTATCTAAGTTTTTGCCGGTAGTATGAATGTCAATCAAGCAAGAGTAGGCATTACCAATAGCTCCTTCCGAAATCTTTGAATCACGCAATTGATTTATAACCGTTAGAGCGAGTTTTTCGTCTTTTTGCTCGCGGGCTGTTTGCAAAACTCGCTGGAACATAAGGCGAGGTGCATTCGAAAGATGTTTATCCCATAATGCTTTTGATGCAGTCTCATCACCTAGAGAAAGTAAATGCATCCAAAGTACATTCACTGGACCCAACTGATTGTATTCAGCATATTTTTCAGCGATTTTTTGGACTGAAAGAAAACGAAATTTTTAAGGATATTTCAAAATCTATATATACAATTGTTACTCACATAACGGCAATGCTTCAGGCTTTTGTTGCAAAATACCAAGAGCACCACCACGTGGAAACTTTTCAGCAAGTTTCGCAGCCTCTTCGGTGGTGTTTACTGCAGAAATCTGCTCATATAGCGAATTCAAATAGTAGTCCGTTTTACCAGCTACAATGTTAGCATGACAAAAACGGTTATCGAAGGAAACAATCTTTTTTCCATCGTCGGATAATTGCTCTCCAATTTTCTCCAATGTTTGCACATCACCAGCTGCAGCGATTTTATTTAAATAAAATTTGAAAATTTTTGGAATGGGGTAACGGTTTCCCGTCAACAATTCATTTACAAATTTCGTCGCTTCCGTTAGACGGTCAGCACGCACTAAATGTTCGATGAGATGAGAAAGATCAGTGACGCTCAGGGTTTCACTTGAATGCAACTGATTTTTATAGTTAAGTGCGGAATCAATGTCACCCGCGTTAATAGCTTTCCGAAGAAGGGATATATTATTTGTAGGTTTGGCGACTATTTTCTTAGGATTACCAACCGATTCGATATTTTTAGTTTGAGAAACTCCTTCTGGTTTTGGTACTACAAATGGCACCTTAATGTTTTGCGTGTTCAATAGCTCTGCTAATTTAATTAGGAAAATATCAGTGGGTGCTACATTTTCTTCCTGCATTTTAGTCCATAAGCCTAAAGCCTTTTCTGCATCTGATGACTTGCAGTAGCTCAACAATAAATTATAGTAGATTTTGTTACGATCTATATGATTAAGGTCCTTTGTCGCTTCTACCAAGCCTTCTAGAGTTTCTACCATGCCTTCGTTTTTATAACGTTCACATGCATGGTTGATACGTTGTGGACGAGTGCGAAGTCCAGGTGTCTCTAAAATCTTTCTCGCTTGACGTATACGCCCACATTCAACGAATGAAAATACTAAATCATACAAACTGTTAACTTCACCATGAATATTCGTACTTAAATCAGTAAGCTTCTGCAAATTTGCAGCATCCTCCTTTTGTATAAGTCGGCATGCAAGTTCATTTTTCCACGGTGTGGACTTATACTTTTCACAGATCTGCTCAAATGTCTCCATGGCCTTTGTGATGTCGTCATTTGTTAGATGTACCTTAATTAATTATTAAGAAATATATAAATTAATATCCACTATGCCATAGAAAACTGAACACAAAGATACCTTTATCAAAGGTCCCAAAAGCACATTAGTGGGATATATATAATTGCCACTCACTAATGTGTCAAACAGTTGCTGCAGCTTATCACCGCTACCAGCTTCAGCAAGTGTATTTAATAAACGCCATACCGTAGATGTGTAACTGAAAGAGAGTTCGGTATCTGAAACCAATTCCACTTTCTTATTACATTCTAGAAATTTAATGGCCTCATCGAAGCGTTCCTCATTAATCAATAACTTAACGATGTGCACTGTTTTGAGATTGTCTAATATGAATTCGGGATCTTTTGTTTTCATTTTCTCATATTGCACCAGCGCTTCCGCTGTTTTACCCTCAATCGCATACAAATCTATCAGTTGTGCCCATATACCAGTTGGTATAGTGAAATTTTCTGCTTCCAATTTCGAAATAACTTGCAAGGTCTTCTCCAGATTGCCGGCACGGAAGCACACATTCAATAATTGGCGCTTCAAATTGTTAGCATTCTCGCCTTTAGTTTCGACATTAGCGATGAATCGTTCAAGCTCTGAAAGGATATAATGTAATTTTAGAGATATCAATTCATAAATATAATATATGTATTTTTTTACCATCAACAGTTAATGAATCCAGACTACGCTTACGCGGTTCTGCAGTTTTCAATGGAGCTAATTCTAGTTCACCAGAACTGAGTTTACCCAAGTTTTCAGAAATCTCAGTTGTCATTTCTGAACCTAAACGTTCGGAAATTCGCGAAGCATTTTTATTGCTTATTGTAAATCCTTCCTTTACCAGTTTAGGAAGAATGTTACTCAATATGTCTACGGTATTGCGGCGGAAATATATGGAAACGTCATTTAAAATAACACCGACAATATCATAATTTCGGTTAGATACTTCATTTTCGACCACTTCACCCGTTGTTTGAATTTCAGCACTTTCCTCCTGTTCCGCTCGTTGAGCACCTGTTTGGCGGCTTTGAGTGCTCTCGTAAAGCAGTCTGATCACACGAACAAAAGAGGCGTAATCATCCGTTGCAGATAGCGCATGAATCAAGGGCTGTCTGAATAACTGCGGTGAATAAAATGCGCGATATGACTCCATAATGTTGGCGGTGGACTTCAGTTGATTTGTTGCTAAAGCCGCATAAGCAACAGAAGCCGCTGCATTAGCACTCGATATACCTGCATCACGTAAAATTGTCACGATTTTATCCCAGTTCTTCTCCTTTAAATTTGGAATAACGTAATCACGTAGAGTTTCTGAACTGGGATTTATACTGAACTCATCTTGCATGTGTCGTATAATACTGATGATTTGGTTGGACTCAGCAGAGCAAATCAACGGCCAGAAATAATGTTGTCGTATAGGTAAACCCGCTTTCTTTAATTCGCGAAGAAGTGGAAGTGCATTTGAAATCACACCATTACTTAGACCTGTTTCGGTAGCGATTAAGAGAGCTTTAGGATTCAGACCTGAGAAATAAACATGTATTTTAATGTATATTGGACAAATTTAAAATAATATATTATTTTCCTACCTTCATCTTGTAGAACTTTGCATATGCTTAAGATCTTTTCTACAGGACGGTTTACTTTAACAAGTTGTTTTATGAAAAAGTTACCAGTATCTACGAGTTGGCCATCAGGTCGGGTGGCACGTGGCATTGTTCGCAAAATTTGTAGACCTACATCCTCGTAGCCTTTATTTACCAAACGTAATATAACGTTCACAGCATCTTGATTGAATCCGGTCGATATACGCAACCTTGCCAGTAATGGGTCTACTTTATCGGGGTGACCGTTAACACTTAGTGTGTAAACGATATCAAGAAGATCTTTGTCTAACAAAATTATTTCTGTTTTTTCACATTCATCCAATGTACGTAGTATTGCGTCAATATCACCATGACGTGCATAGCAACATAAGAGGGTGGAGTAGGTATCAGCGCTGGGTTCCAAGTTAGCCTGTTTCATTACAGACAGAATTCCTTTGGCTGATTCCAAATCGTTTGCCTATATCAGAGATGGATTAAGTATATTTTTTTAAAAATCGAAATATAATTTTCTATGCCACTAACATACCTGTGAATGACCCAGTATAAGGGAATTGAAAACATTTTCGTTAACCGGAAGATTTTTAGAACGCATAAACTCTAATATACGAGTAGCTCCGTCAATGTCACCCTGCTGACAATATCTCGCTATTAAACGCTGATATGTCACTCGATTTGGTTCAATATTCTTGGACTCGATCTCTGCAAGAAAATCTGTTGGCGAGAAATGGTGTTCATTTTCTAAGTACACACGCAGCAGTGCATTGTAATGGGATATATCCATTGGCACATTTAAAGCGTTCAGCGTTTTCCAAATTTCCTGCACTAGCGCTGTTCTTACTTCAGGCATTTCTTCCGGCACTAAATTACCACAGCAACGTATTACGAGCAGTGATTGTGAACTAGTTGCTGATCGCTGAGTTCGTATTTCTTCAAGAACGTCCTCAATGTCGCGACGTGAAATTCTGCCAACGCGTCGAACATCCTGGTCTAGCCGGCGTATTTGTTTTTCTAAGTTAAGATCTGACTTTGCTGCTGGACTGCTAGTGAACCCACTAGAAATGTGCAAACATGAGTATTACAGTTTTTAGGTTAAGATCACAAACATATGATTATATTAAAAACATTATTTTTAACTAAGAAAAACAATTTTCTTAAAGACAGATACAACTACATTTCAACAATTATTAGAAAGCTTTATTGTATTAAGGAGATCGTATTTTAAAATTATTTTTTTTTTTTAAGTACTACTTTCATATTGCGTAATGTTATGATGAGGGAGGGCACCGGCCGGGTTTATTTACTTACTGCTGGAACTGTATGCCAATGCCTGGTGAATTTTGTAGCAGGCAGCTTCCATTTTCACTTTGTTTAACTGAATCTACAACGAAATTTCGCGTAAAACCAGCGAAATAGCGAAGAAATTTTCCTGTGCGTAAGATTGATGCCATACTTTCGTCGCCTGGAGAAATGAATGTGACGAGAAAAAGATTTCTAACTATCTAAACAGATAGCATTGCCATTCTTAGAAAACATATAAAATTCATATAAAACATTTGAATGTGTCAAAAAAAGTTAAATATGTGGATGCTATTGAAAATTTATTTTTAAGCCATAAATATCTAATAATAGAAAATACTGCTGTAGTAATTAATTTTTTTTTTAAATTTTGTAATAATAGTCAAATTCTGATTGGAAATAATGAGGGGACATCTATAAGTGAGTTTTTTCTCTTAATTTCTTTGCAGCGCATTTTCGTTCCATCAGCTGATAGACATACGACGTGTGTGATAACAGCAAAAAGTTGTGAAATTTAAGTTGTTAGAAAATATTTACTGCATAACTTGGGCATATATTATCTTATAAAATATAACAAAATGTTCCAGCTACTTGGAAAAATTCCCAAGAACGTACTTGCATCAAATGTTCTAACAGTCAACCAAAAAGCTCCGACAGTAAGTGCTCCGGTATATTTTGCTCTTCCGAACAATAGATTTAACTCTACTGAAGCAAAGCCGGCTTTAACATCTGAGGGTAAAAATATTTACTTGTTAATTGTTAATGTATTTTTATGACATTTTTATATTTTATTTAAAAAAATTGAATTTTAGATTTTAGAAAGAAGCAAATACGCTTCAATATAAAAGCAGAGCATGTTGAAGGTAGACCACTCTATCTTGACGTTCAGGCAACTACTCCACTGGTAATTAATCTGTAAAATTCTGCCTGTCATTTCTATGTTCTTAACGAATTTATTTAAAGGATCCTCGCGTATTAGACGCAATGTTGCCATATATGACGAATTACTATGGAAACCCACATTCTCGTACTCACGCATATGGCTGGGAATCTGAAAAAGCGGTAGAAACTGCAAGAGAACAGGTGGCGATGTTGATTGGCGCCGAGCCAAAAGAAATCATATTCACTTCAGGAGCTACAGAATGTAATAACATTTCTATCAAAGGTGTTGCTAGGTATAAATCAGGCATGCAATTATTAGGATTAGTAATACATTTGTACTTATGGCTTCATTGCTTATTCCTAGGTTTTACGCGAGCAAGAAAAAACATGTTATTACCACTCAAACAGAGCATAAATGCGTGTTAGACTCATGCCGTGCATTGGAGAATGAAGGCTTTAAGGTGACTTATTTGCCGGTTAAGTCAAATGGAATTATTGATATGAAGCAATTAGAGGAATCTATCACTCCGGAAACATCGTTAGTATCTATTATGACTGTAAACAATGAAATTGGTAGGTTTGAATATTTAAAATCAAAATGAAACTTCTCTTATGGAAGAAAATTTATTTATACGGAAAACAGGAGTAAAACAGCCGATAGCAGATATTGGTGCACTCTGTCGTTCACGAAAAGTGTTTTTTCATACGGATGCTGCCCAGGCAGTAGGAAAAATTCCCATCGATGTAAACAAAATGAATATCGATTTAATGTCAATGTCAGGACATAAAATATACGGACCAAAGGGTGTTGGTGCACTTTATGTGCGTCGTAGGCCACGTGTACGTCTTGAACCAATTCAAAGTGGAGGTGGGCAAGAACGTGGTCTTCGCAGTGGTACTGTCCCCGCACCTCTGGTGGTAGGATTTGGTGTTGCTTGCGATCTTGCTTTGAAAGAAATGGATTATGATAAAGAATGGATAGATTTTCTATCAAAACGTTTGTATGATCGTATAACACAGACCCTGACACATGTAATCCGCAACGGCGATCCTGAACAGACTTATAGCGGTTGCTTAAATTTGTCTTTTGCCTACGTAGAAGGCGAATCATTATTGATGGCTTTAAAAGATGTCGCTCTTTCAAGTGGTTCAGCATGTACTTCTGCGTCATTGGAACCTTCCTATGTGCTTCGTGCCATAGGTACCGATGAGGATCTGGCCCACAGTTCAATAAGGTTAATATTAGCAATTTCAACTTTTAAGTAATCATACATAATTAACGACATTTACCATTATATTAATCTTTTCAGATTTGGTATTGGTCGTTTTACAACCATTGAAGAAGTTGATTACACTGCTGACAAATGTATCAAACATGTGGAACGCCTACGTGAAATGTCTCCACTGTGGGAGATGGTTCAAGAAGGCATTGATTTAAAAAACATTCAGTGGTCACAGCATTAATTTGGTTTGCCGCAACTATTGGGTCGGAGGGACTGTATTGAATTGTACCTACAATTGTTAGTAAGAAACTGTTTTCGTTTTATAAAAGCTATGGAAATTTTCAATTTTGAGTGTTTATGAGGATTTTACATTGAAAAAGGATAAGCTTTGCTTAAAGAATAACGGTCTATTTTTCGTAATACTTAGATATTATTAAAGAGCTATTAGTTAAACGCATGTCAAAGGTACACGCAAATATTATATAATAACAAGCCGTTTAAATATACTTTAATTAAATTGAAAAACTCCATAGAAATAAATTGATTTATTTAAAAACATTAGTAACAGGTAGAGAGAGATAGATAACGTACGAGTAGAAGCTGAAATTAAAGTGTTGGTGAGTCGAAATTTACACCGATCGTGACGACAGTCATCAAAGTTAGCGTATCACAGTGAAGCGTTGGCGCAGCTTACGCACACGTACAAAGTTTTTGTGTGATGTTAAACAAGTGAATAGCCAGTGAACACCAAGTGTAAACTGACTACGATTGTTGGCAGGCTAAATCGAGATTGATTTCAATAGATTCGGGAGACGGATGCAAGTTGCCACTTACTATATGCCGTGCTGATCTAAGCTGTGGGTGGAAAAATATTATCTCATACCAAAATTAAGAAATCAGTGTATATACTGCCGAAAGTATCATATTGCTAACATCAATAATACTTTTATCAAAATTGTCACCGACAAACGGAAAAGGAAAGTGGAGGTAAGTTTGAAGTGTAGAACTGCATTCACGCGTATTGGTCAAAATTGTTTTGAGGTTATAACATGATTTACTGGAAATCAATAACCGCATCGTCGAAGAGAACTTCTTGTCAAATTTCGTAATGCGTTAGCTGGGTAGTTATATATTAAATTTAAATGAGCATGCATTATGTACATATTAAAATTTATTTCCACTATCGAAAATGCCCTTATCAAAGTCTGGGTTGAGTAATTGTTTAGATATGTTTATTACAAAACATTTTGTATATGTGTATATTTGTACAGATTTATATGCATGTGTACCATATATCCGGCGTTTGCCATATGGTTGCAATTGTTATGCTATTAACACTGACTTGTCACCGCCCGCACACCTAACTATATACTTATATGCATTAATCATCATCCGCGCAACAGTCGAATATATATATTAAGTATAAATTTCACTCAAAAGCTGAAAATTAGATGTATGCGAATAAACCAGTAATTGAGTCATGCACTCTATGGTTAGCACGAGAGGTGTGTTTTAATTCCAAAGAAGCAAATTTTATTTTTAACATTCTGTAACATTCTAATATCATTCAATGAATAAAATAAATAATCAAAGTCTCAATTATGTTTGATTTGATTGTGCAAGACGAGTATGTATGATGTTTATTAAACATTTTGTAAATCTTTCAGTTTACATATATACATACTCGTGCATACTATTATTTGAAATATCTGCTCTATTAAATCTTATCAAGCTTTGATAACAAACGTAGCCATTATGCTACAATTCGGTCGAGACTCGTCGATAAAGTATTGCTATTTATTGTGTTACATTTGTACATATATACATATATGGCAAACAGTATTTATAGTATACAAATGACTAATGAAAACTAAAGGTTTTCGGGCGTTTCTTTGAAATGTAACATTCTTATATGATTGTTGTTGTTGTGGACAGAATTCTCGTTCCCACGACAGTCGGGTCTACGTAACCGGAACGGACCCGGATTTTATCCGGCCAAGGACTGTCACATCGGCTACAACAACATTCTTATATGCTTTATTGTTATTTGTAAACTTAATAGAATTATTAATTTAAATTTTACGATATTGTACCGCCTATTTAATACGCACGCTATCTTTTAATTACAGTGTGAAAGCGGAATCTTTGACGTTCGAATTGCTGACTTTGATGGCGTGCTATTTCACATTTCAAATGTTAATGGCGATAAGACTAAAGTTAGGGTAAGTCAGCATTAATCAGCAATATAATTTATACTATAAATGCAATAATTTTTATATTATAGACAAGCATTTCGTTGAAGTTCTACAAGCAGTTACAGGAGCATGGTGCTGACGAATTGCTGAAGCGTGAATATGGCGGTTTATTAACAGACACTGAAGATGGTAATAAATATAATAAATCTATTAAAGTTTAATTTCATTAGTTTGTGTTTTTAGGCTACAACGTGTCGGTACTTATTGACCTAGAAATATACCTGCTGACTGGGAGGCAGTTGCTAAAAATATTGGCCTGTTGAAACGCAATTGCTTTGCTTCTGTTTTGAAAAATACTTCGATTTTCAAGAACAGGGTGAAGAAGGGCCAAAAGCGTGCTGTAATTAATTACCGAAACGATGAAACTCTGTAAATATTTAATTTTGGTTAATTTATACATAGTTAGAAATTTGAAACGTTTTAATTCATTTAGTTATGTTGGCAAAGTCTGATCGTGTAACTGTTGTATTTAGCACGATTTTCGTGATGAGGACGACGTGATTATTGGCAAAGTATTTATGCAGGAATTGAGAGAAGGTCGCCGAGCATCACATACAGCTCCACAAGTATTGTTCTCACATCGTGAACCACGTTGGAATTGGCGAAAACGGATGCAAGAGTAGGCGACAATATTGGATACGTTACTTTTGGTGAGTAAGAATGCATGTAGTTCATTTGTTTAAATGTTGAAGAAGTTAGTTAGTATAGATAGAAACTAATTCACGTATTTAAATACTGACGGAAAGACGGACATGGCTAAATAGACACAGCTCGCCACTCTAATCATTTATATATAGTGCTCTAGAGTGTGTCCAACGTTTTGTTCTGGGTGTTACAAACTTCGTAGCAAACTTAATAACATTCTGTCCAAGGAAATTATTTCAAAACTCTCCCAATTGTAGAAGTAGAGCATATATAAAGTTGTAAAACTTATGATAAGCAAGTAAGCAGAAGGTATGTTGTTAAAGTAGTAGCAGAAAACATTTCTAAAGTAATTTTGAGGAATAGTGCCGAGATGACAGTCCTTGGCCGGATAAAATCCGGGTCCGTTCCGTTTACTTAGACCCGACTGTCAAGGAACGATGTATGTATTTTGTTCGGGTGCAGCTGAATATAACTTACTCTCGCAGTTTGTAAAAATTGATCACATGTCAAAAGTATAATCTGTCGAATTAATTAACAATAGAGTAATACAAAAGTTGCCTTATAGTGCTAGCAAGAAATAAATGAACATTGATTGGTGAGCTAAAAGTGGGATATTTACTATTATTTAGTTTGTGTCTCTCAAATACTCCTAAATTAAATTATAGATCAACGCATCCTGATTAACCACATTTTATCTCAGATGACTGTGTTTGATTACAAATAGAAACTTAGTTAGAAAGCTAGCAAGAAATAGGTGAACATTATTGGTGGAGCTAAAGTGGGATATTTATCATTGTTTGGTTTGTCTCTCAATACTCCTAAATTAAATTATAGATCAAACGGCATCCTGATTAAACCACATTTTATCTCAGATGACTTGTGTTCGATTACAAATAGAAACTTAGTTAGAAAGCTAGCAAGAAATAGGTGAACATTATTGGTGGAGCTAAAAGTGGGATATTTACTATTATTTAGTTTGTGTCTCTCAAATACTCCTAAATTAAATTATAGATCAAACGGCATCCTTAAAAAACCACATTTTATCTCAGATGACTTGTGTTCGATTACAAATAGAAACTTAGTTAAAAAGCTAGCAAGAAATAAATGAACATTGATTGGTGGAGTTAAAAGTGGGATATTTACTATCGTTTGGTTTGTGTCTCTCAAATACTCCTAAATTAAATTATAGATCAAACGGCATCCTGATTAAACCACATTTTATCTCAGATGACTTGTGTTTGATTACAAATAGAAACTTAGTTAGAAAGCTAGCAAGAAATAGGTGAACATTATTGGTGGAGCTAAAAGTGGGATATTTATCATCGTTTGGTTTGTGTCTCTCAAATACTCCTAAATTAAATTATAGATCAAACGGCATCCTGATTAAACCACATTTTATCTCAGATGACTTGTGTTCGATTACAAATAGAAACTTAGTTAGAAAGCTAGTAAGAAATAAGTGAACATTATTGGTGGAGCTAAAAGTGGGATATTTACTATTGTTGTTTGTGTCTCTCTCACTCTCTAAATTAAATTATAGATCAACGGCATCCTGATAAACCACATTTTTTCTCAGATGACTTGTTTTGATTACAAATAGATACATAGTAAAAGCTAGCAAGAAATAAATGAACATTGATTGGTGAAGCTAAAAGTGGGATATTAACTATTATTTAGTTTGTGTCTCTCAAATACTCCTAAATCAAATTATAGATCAAACGGCATCCTGATTAAACACATTTTACTCAGATGACTTGTGTTGATTACAAATAAAACTTAGTTAGAAAGCTAGCAAGAAATAGTGAACATTATTGGTGGAGCTAAAAGTGGGATATTTATATCGTTTGTTTGTGTCTCTCAAATACTCCTAAATTAAATTATAGATCAAACGGCATCCTGATTAAACCACATTTTATCTCAGATGACTTGTGTTCGATTACAAATAGAAACTTAGTTAGAAAGCTAGTAAGAAATAAGTGAACATTATTGGTGGAGCTAAAAGTGGGATATTTACTATTGTTTAGTTTGTGTCTCTCAACTACTCTTAAATTAAATTATAGATCAAACGGCATCCTGATTAAACCACATTTTATCTCAGATGACTTGTGTTTGATTACAAATAGATACATAGTTAAAAAGCTAGCAAGAAATAAATGAACATTGATTGGTGAAGCTAAAAGTGGGATATTTACTATTATTTAGTTTGTGTCTCTCAAATACTCCTAAATCAAATTATAGATCAAACGGCATCCTGATTAAACCACATTTTATCTCAGATGACTTGTGTTTGATTACAAATAGAAACTTAGTTAGAAAGCTAGCAAGAAATAGGTGAACATTATTGGTGGAGCTAAAAGTGGGATATTTACTATCATTTGGTTTGTGTCTCTCAAATACTCCTAAATAAAATTATAGATCAAACAGCATCCTGATTAAACCACATTTTATCTCAGATGACTTGTGTTTGATTACAAATAGAACATAGTTAAAAGCTAGCAAGAAATAATGAACATATTGTGGAGCTAAAAGTGGGATATTTACTATGTTTAGTTTGTGTCTCTCAATACTCTAAATTAAATTATAGATCAAACGGCATCCTGATTAAACCATTTTATCTCAGATGACTTGTGTTTGATTACAAATAGAAACTTAGTTAGAAAGCTAGCAAGAAATAAGTGAACATTATTGGTGGAGCTAAAGTGGGATATTTACTATTGTTTAGTGTGTCTCTCAACTACTCCTAAATTAAATTTAGATCAAACGGCATCCTGAATAAACCACATTATCTCAGATGACTTGTGTTGATTACAAATAGAAGCATAGTTAGAAAGCTAGCAAGAAATAAATGAACATTGATTGGTGAGCTAAAAGTGGGATATTTACTATCGTTTGTTTGTGTCTTCAAATACTCCTAAATTAAATTATAGATCAAACGGCATCCTGATTAAACCACATTTTATCTCAGATGACTTGTGTTTGATTACAAATAGATACATAGTTAAAAAGCTAGCAAGAAATAAATGAACATTGATTGGTGGAGCTAAAAGTGGGATATTTACTATTGTTTAGTTTGTGTCTCTCAAATACTCCTAAATTAAATTATAGATCAAACGGCATCCTGATTAAACCACATTTTATCTCAGATGACTTGTTTGATTACAAATAGAATTAATAGAAAGCTAGCAAGAAATAATGAACATTATTGGTGGGCTAAAAGTGGGAATATTACTATTGTTTAGTTGTGTCTCTCAAATACTCCTAAATTAAATTATAGATCAAACGGCATCCTGATAAACCACATTTTATCTCAGATGACTTGTGTTCGATTACAAATAGAAACATAGTTAGAAAGCTAGCAAGAAATAAGTGAACATTATTGGTGGAGCTAAAAGTGGGATATTTACTATCGTTTGGTTTGTGTCTCTCAAATACTCCTAAATTAAATTATAGATCAAACGGCATCCTGATTAAACCACATTTTATCTCAGATGACTTGTGTTCGATTACAAATAGAAACTTAATTAGAAAGCTAGCAAGAAATAAGTGAACATTATTGGTGGAGCTAAAAGTGGGATATTTACTATTGTTTAGCTTGTGTCTCTCAACTACTCCTAAATTAAATTATAGATCAAACGGCATCCTGAATAAACCACATTTTATCTCAGATGACTTGTGTTCGATTACAAATAGAAGCATAGTTAGAAAGCTAGCAAGAAATAAGTGAACATTATTGGTGGAGCTAAAAGTGGGATATTTACTATCGTTTGGTTTGTGTCTCTCAAATACTCCTAAATTAAATTATAGATCAAACGGCATCCTGATTAAACCACATTTTATCTCAGATGACTTGTGTTCGATTACAAATAGAAACTTAATTAGAAAGCTAGCAGAATAATGTGAACATTATTGGTGGAGCTAAAAGTGGGATATTTACTATTGTTTAGCTTGTGTCTCAACTACTCCTAAATTAAATTATAGATCAAACGGCATCCTGAATAAACCACATTTTATCTCAGATGACTTGTGTTCGATTACAAATAGAAGCATAGTTAGAAAGCTAGCAAGAAATAAGTGAACATTATTGGTGGAGCTAAAAGTGGGATATTTACTATCGTTTGGTTTGTGTCTCTCAAATACTCCTAAATTAAATTATAGATCAAACGGCATCCTGATTAAACCACATTTTATCTCAGATGACTTGTGTTTGATTACAAATAGATACATAGTTAAAAAGCTAGCAAGAAATAAATGAACATTGATTGGTGGAGCTAAAAGTGGGATATTTACTATCGTTTGGTTTGTGTCTCTCAAATACTCCTAAATTAAATTATAGATCAAACGGCATCCTGAATAAACCACATTTTATCTCAGATGACTTGTGTTCGATTACAAATAGAAGCATAGTTAGAAAGCTAGCAAGAAATAGGTGAACATTATTGGTGGAGCTAAAAGTGGGATATTTACTATCGTTTGGTTTGTGTCTCTCAAATACTCCTAAATTAAATTATAGATCAAACGGCATCCTGATTAAACCACATTTTATCTCAGATGACTTGTGTTTGATTACAAATAGAAACTTAGTTAGAAAGCTAGCAAGAAATAGGTGAACATTATTGGTGGAGCTAAAAGTGGGATATTTACTATCGTTTGGTTTGTGTCTCTCAAATACTCCTAAATAAAATTATAGATCAAACAGCATCCTGATTAAACCACATTTTATCTCAGATGACTTGTGTTTGATTACAAATAGATACATAGTTAAAAAGCTAGCAAGAAATAAATGAACATTGATTGGTGGAGCTAAAAGTGGGATATTTACTATTGTTTAGTTTGTGTCTCTCAAATACTCCTAAATTAAATTATAGATCAAACGGCATCCTGATTAAACCACATTTTATCTCAGATGACTTGTGTTCGATTACAAATAGAAACTTAATTAGAAAGCTAGCAAGAAATAAGTGAACATTATTGGTGGAGCTAAAAGTGGGATATTTACTATTGTTTA